TAAATCATATGCCGCGAATAAACCGCGATTACCGAGTTACCTGCAATTCGAAGAACTCGAGCCGTGGATAAAACGATGAGCATCGTTAAAGTTAAAACTAAGTCCTACGACTATTATTATCCCTTCGTTTCCATCAAAACGAAATTTTGTATCAATTGCGCGTTGCCATTGTTACTTTATAAAAATTGTTTTATATATGTTAATTATTCAGGCTTTCATTACAAATTAGTATTATCATTACAGTTATCTACAGTTATCTATTATCTCTTTTTCTTTTATTACATCATTATATTTTTATTATTATTAAAATAATTAGTATACAACCTGTAAACAACGATTTGTTTAAACGCGGAATTAACGGTACACGGTACCGTACAATCAATATCGGCAATATTCTTTTCAAAAGAGAACTTTCACACAAAATACCGCTCTATTGATATCGTCGCTGAAAGCCGTTAATTCTCCGAAACACAGGGAATTAATAACCATTGGAAACATCGCGGGACGGTTATTATTCAGGCGGAATACTTCACGAGCGCGATATAATTTCGTAATGACAATTTTGGTATTCCGCGCGGCGTTCCGCCGCGTTTTATTTCCTTTTATATCGGCCGACGCGATTTCCCCGCATACGGCGTATATTTCGCTCATCGACGCTCGCCCGAAACCCCTCGAATTAAGCCGCGAATATATTCGCATTTCTCTTCGAGTCACCCTCGAACTTTTTCCCTCCTTAGCCTTTATTACGTGCGCAAACTGCCACAGAGGCCAACGATGCATTACGAAAAATTGGCGTATATTATAATATTTCATGACACGGGTCTTAAATACGCGCCGATGATACGCACATCCGGATCTTTTCACGATTTTGCCGGTTCAAGACGAAAAAGATTTTCGTACTGTGTCTGCAAAAAACTATGCGTAATTACCGCGCTCATTGACGCTGGAAGAAAAATAAGCTCACAAAAGTGCAATCTGTAGCTTTTATCCGGGCAAATATTTGCACATGCGTCAGGAATATATATGTGAGCGTATATATATCTTGTTTGGCTATAAATGAACATGATATTAATGTAATGATGTGGCTACACATAGAATAGTTATTTCGTATTTTTAATATAAGATTTGAATCTATACCTTCTTTAACTAACAAAATATATATTTCATGTTATAGATATAAAAATGATGAAAGAAGAAAAATCAATTATGCTCCTAGATAAGAATATTATGAAAAAAAGCAAAAGAAAGAAACAACTTGTGTGCTAAAAATCAGGAAACACAGCTAAGTTTGCGAGGAAGCAACGAGCGGAAAAGCCGTGCAAACAAGTGGTGGTATGGATTTCTCGACGGATGAGAAACACGAGCAATCAGCTGTTCCCGAAAAGATCAGAAGAGCAAAGCAAATGAGTTTTCTTACCAGAAATAGAAAGAAAGAGAAAGAGAGAAAAATTTAATACGAAAAGGGGCGGAAATATAAATGCGCCGAAAGTTCCCTCGCATCTCCTGCCTGAAGTCGCGGCAGCAACCCTATTTACTACTTCGTTTCTCCGTTTCTTTACTGTCGCATCTCGTGTCTCGTCACGAAGCTCTTTCCGCCCCGAAGTCATCTGCTACCTATGCGCGTGCATGAAAAACTTCCGAAGCAAGTCGAGCGAAGCGAGCTCGCTTCGTTCTCATGTGACAAATCACCTGTCCCGAGGAGCCCGTTTCCGCTCGACGCCGAAACGCGGCGAAAGGTGAAATTGCGGCTGCTGCAAAAACGCGTCGCGCTGCGACGACTGGGAAATTATACCGTCTCGTTGAAATTTGTGCCGAGTAATTCGATATTTTTTATGAACAAAAGCTATTTACGTATGTATCGGAACTTTTCATTCATATAATAAAATAAATATCCGTATAAATAAAAAAAAAATTAATAACGAATAGAAATATATTTATATGCAACAATGTAACATTTTCACTGTTAATATTTGGAGTTATAGCAACTAACAATACTGAGATATTTTCTACTAGCACCTTGCTTCTCGCAACTGAATATGGTATCCTGACAAAATCCTCGTTCGCTTCGACGGTGAAAAAACGTTTCGCAATGAAAGCTAAATGAACCGCGCGCAATCTCCCAGGAATCCTCAACGAGGCGCAACAATAGGGACGTAATAATAAATAAGAAGCGCATGAAAACGCAACAATAGAAGCGTAATAATAAATAGGACGAGATAGAAAGACGCGAGTGAGCCAGAACGTGCAATAATTTCAAATCATTGACATGCTGTATGAAATGTGAAATACGAATGCAATCGTCTATCCTTGAAATTTTTGAAGAATATCGCTACCGACTTTTTAAATATTAAAACACGTATATATCGACGCTTTTTGCTTATATGTAACGCTAGATTATAATAATCTCAAGATGAAAATTATTTTTATTTTGAATTATAAGAATTGAAAATCAAGAGAATTTCTACGATTGAAAATTGAGAAATTAGTATTCAAAAAGGAACGAGTATATTATTGACTCTCGATGATTTCATTTTTCAAGAGTTTTTCTCGAGGTACGTACCAGAATACATAAAAGTATCAGTTTATATATATTCGAATTGATATCGCTGGATTCTTGGATTACAGGTGCCTAATGAGTATTTCAATACAGACAGCCGGCGCCGACATCGAGCCAAGCTATTAATTATTTATCTACCATTTGTTGAAATTCAATAATATCGATGCACGATGTACTTTGTCCGCGACGTGCCGTGGTAATCTGGCTGGCGGAAAGCATCGAAACATTCTCGGGAAATGAAACTTAGTTCGAAACAATTCGCAATCCCGCGATGGAATTGCGCGAGAGAAGAGGGAGATTGGTGGCTCGTGTTAAACTGGAAATAGTGGCTCGGCAATGTTAGCGGAGATTGGCACGGATCCAACGGATTCATCGTGCTCTGCACAACGACGACGAAATCCGAAGTCAACTGTACGTTAATCTTCTGCCAGCGCGCTTTTCATTTTCATCCCGCTCTGCTTTCGAGCCTTCCAAGGAAGTTCATTCTCGCCCCGCCATCGACTGTTTCGTATTTTTATTAAAGATCAAATCTTTTCATCGTCATGGGATGCTCATCAAGATTTCAGAAAATCTGACAGAACATGTTACGTTTAATTTTTCTTTTTTTTGAAAGACCTATATTAGTCGAGATAATAATTAAACGGTTGATCAAATGCTTTTAAAAATATGTTGATAAATAAGGATGCCTAGTATCGTTGAAAGCTAGATGCATCTATAAATTTCTGAGTCGAATTTGGCGAATTTTCAAGAAGTTGATTACACAACAACGTGACGAACTGCGAGGTCATTTCCGTCCTCTTCTCCTTGATTTTTCTTGGATACCAAAACTTCTCATCTCTTCCTACATTAACCATTTCCGTAAAACGTTAATATAGAAAGAAATAAAAGTGTTCTTACTCCGTTATCTTATCAGACTTTTGTCAAGAGGGCGGAAAAAACGCATCGTTCTCCGAAATTTTCACGTGATATATTTCAAGTAAGAAATGTCGGGAAGAATTCTCCTTTTCTAATTCTTTAAGGTCCAGTTCTTTTGCTCTAAAGTTACCCCATTTTTAAATTTTTATTAGGACGACGGAGTTGTGCTAATCGTAAGTAAGTAGTTTTAAAGCTAATTTCAGAATAAAGATTTTGCTAAATGAAGTTATTACAGATATACAAGAAAATTTATAATCTAGGTATAATAATTTGAAATTAAAAGAATCATGTTTTTTTTTAAGGAATAAGGATTTGATATTGAAAAGAAATTAAAGGCGTAGAGTCATTGCGGGGGAGGGCTTCGACCGCGATAATTTATTTCCGACGACGACGGAAGCGAGCGCACGATTCCTGGTGGGTGCATTGGAACGATGGTAGTTTCGGAGGATGGAAATTGGCGTAGATCCAGGATGGATTCGGCCGTCGCGCGAGGCGACACGACGCCCAGCGTCGTCGTCGTCGTCGTCGTCGTTTCGGTGCCTACGAGAAAAAGCGGGCGAACTCTCTTTTAAGCTCCCTCCGTTCTTACCAGTCTCGCGATCTATCTCCCGCTCCTGCTCGCGGCATCCTTTTCGAGTGCGTTGTGTCGAGGACCCTAAATGGAATTGGCGTCGCGCCCGTGAATACGTCCCGCGCCTCTTCGACGAGATGGGATTTTTCGTTTCTGCACGCATAATGTACGTTTACACCTTCACGTCGTTTTCTCGAATGATTCGCGCGCCGATAGTTTGCTCGCGAAGCGATTTTCAAAAGCTCTTCAATCAAGAATCTGACGCCAAAAAGACTGATCGATACAAACCATCCTCAAATATGTAAAAACCACAGACTTCTATATGTATATATATGTACTGCTAACAACAATGTGACAGGCAGCCATTTACAATTGGGCAAAATATAACCAGGCTGTCAATAAATACTTATTTTTAAAGAGAAAGCTGCAATATTTAATATAACTTTTATTTTAAATATATATAAAACTTTTATATTAATATTGCAACTTTTCCTTCAAAAATAAGTATCGATTGACAGCCTGATTATATTCTATCCAATGTAAATGACTGCCCTGGTTTTACCTGTCACATCGCTGTTAGCAGTCTAGTATATATATAGAAGTCTGTGATAAAAACTAATGCAGTATATTTGCTCGTATCACGCATAGTTAAATAGCAAGTGACGATCGATTTGTTCCTTTTGAGTCTCGGATTTTATCGTTATACGTAACGTAACTTATGTTGGCTTCGGGGCTTTGCGTTAAGCTTCTTGGGTACAGTGAAACTGAGTACAAGACCTTATCGTTAATCTAAATTCAAGAGGGTTTTAACCCTCCAGAATTTTAATTCAAGATTTAATTGGAATTGAATATTAAAAAGTTTTACAATGTGATTGTGTGTGCCTCTTTCGGGATGATGTTCATTAGAAGAAATGTTAAAAGTGCGCGTAAAGTTATGTTAATGTTAGAACCACTTACCGCCGTGCACCTCGCATACTAGGAACAAGTCAGCTCCCTCAGGGTATGCTTCGAGGAGTTTGCTCATGTCTCGCCTTTTCGCGTCATAGATTATCGGTTTCGCCGGTGGCACTGTAAGCAGAAAGACAGAAAATACGTGACCGATATGTGCATTTTCTAAATGAGTTTTTGTGAAACAGCCATACCCCGGAAATTGTAAAAAAAAAATAACTATTTTGTGAGAATTACAATCGTCGCTAATAATACATTTATTATTATATATAATATATTAATATACAAACTTTCCTTAGAAATATGTAATTGCAAAAATTGATTAGTTTCTATAAAGCTCATATAATAAAATATAATAAATGTGTTATTACGGAACAATTAGATATTTGAAATATAATTTCTTTTATCTGTTTCGTGAAGGAAACCAATGTACATTAATATCGATTGATCGCGAATAAGATATTTTTGCATCTAAGAGGATCTAAGTCCCCGTGTATATTCTTAAGCTGTGTTATAATAGGCGGAACAAAGACCGACAAGAAAAAAACAGGCAAAAAGGTAAAGCAACAGAGTGGCTGCTTTCACTTGACTGGCGTTGGCAGGCTTTCTTTTTCATCGCCAGCTCGATGCATTCACGATATAGCCGAGGAAGAGGTAAACGCAAACAAGCCGAGTCTCATCCCGGTATGTCGCTCGGATGTCGGATGGAAATTGCCTTCGGCTATTGTCGCGACGACAATGTACGCGCTCCATTCGTTCGTGCTTCCTCCTTCCTTCGCGAGAAGGTGCAGTAAAACCGAGAAAAGATCGCGTTCGCGAGAAGACTTTCGCGCGCGAGAGAGGGCGGAGCGACACCGATAAAAGCTTTCAACGTACGGCGAAATATTCCGATTCGGTAACGGCGATGACACCGTGCAAGCGTTCACGCCTGTCCCGATCGCGGGCACCTGTGCTCCCGGACTGTGTGAGACACATCAGGGATCGACTCCACGCTCCTTGAGAGACGCGCGCGAGAAGTCCCCGTGAGAATCCTTATGTAGATATTGTTCAGAATCGCTGTTTCGCCTCGAGTGAAGTTTACGGTGCCATCGTGTCGCCGGCGTGACTTGTTTGTTCATATCGTCGACAATCCGGGTGCCTGTATCCGAAGTATGTGGCGATATTTTCGGTACGTGTTCTATGAAGGCAAACAAAGCTCAGTATTGTCGACCTATGTTCAAAGCTGTGCCACGAGATATGGCAAAATACGTGGAAAATGTAACATATGCGATATAAGTAGAAGAATTCAACTCGCGACAAACAACAGTGCGTTAATATGCACTATAAGGTTGCTTTCTAAAAACAGATTTATATGTCGCGGTATTTTATTTATAATAATAATAATACAAACACATATATTCCATAAGTTTTAATTTAAATTTAAAAAAATTGTTAATTCTTTTTTTTTATTTTGTCCACGGTCAATTAATTAAAAAAAAAAAAGAATACTTATATATACAAGTATAAATCTCATTCTATACTATTATTCTATCATAGAACATAAGAGAACAATTAAAATTTATTCCATTCGTTACGTGCTTCTCGTCGCGTGCAAAAAGATATCGCCTTATAACGATTAACTTAGCGACACGGAAAGAATTCAATAATCGTTCGAGTAATTGCTATCCCTGGCGTGCGATACGATCGCCGTCGGCTCGAATCGATATGCTGAAGAGCGGCAACTCTTCTCCAGCGGAAAGAAGTGCTCCCGTTCCCACGGGATTCTGCAGACGAACGTCGTAATCTCGACGGAGATTACGCGAGAGCGGCGCAAGACGACGCTTTAGTGGCGCTAATACCCGGCCCATTCACGGTCTTTTATAGACGTTTCTCCGAGAGAGATACCTGGAACGCGATTTTTTTTCCCCCGATTCCCATTGTCGACCATTGTTACGCTGACAATCGACTCGCTTGCGAAAAAAAAAAACTCTAAAGATGTGTCACCAACGAGGGTCGCGCGCGTCTGATACGAACCGCGCTTTTACTACTTTCACCAATCCCTGCGGAAAATTTACGAAAATGCTATCGCCATGTTTGCGGCTATTCTTATCACGTTTCGTTTGTCTCTTGCAGAGATTTTTAAGAATTAAGTAGTTTTGATAAGAAAAAAAGGGGGATGGGGCGACTTTTGTAATTTTATAAATTTAGGTATAAAAAGATAAAGAACATATATAAAAATGTCTCCATATCATATCACTATCGCGTATTAATTTATTCTTACAATTAGTCGCTATAATACAAAAATTATTTGTTTACAGATATACCTTTACATTAATTACTTCCAGTATCGTATGTATATAAAAACCATATCGTATGTATATTAGTGCTAATTAGTAATAATTTCACGTCAATCTTCCCCGATTAATTACGAAATAAATCGCCGTCACACGGGCATTATAATCTCATGAATATTCATGATCGTTAGTAGTGTATGTGACATATTACCGTATTATTATTCTAATACACGTATTACCGGCATACTCGACCGATACGAGAAACCGATATCTAAAAAGGAGATCCTATCGAAATCGAACGCTATTTATAATACGCGGAAGGAGCGGTATATGCGGCTATGCGAAAAGTTTCTCCTCACTTCGATACGATAACCCTCTCTATGACCGTTCATTAATCTTGCCGCACGCGAGATTCATCTCCCGACCAAGTTTTACATATTTATTATCGTAAACGCTATTTATAATAGGAGCGGTATATGCGGCTATGCGAAAAGTTTCTCCTCACTTCGATACGATAACCCTCTCTATGACCGTTCATTAATCTTGCCGCACGCGAGATTCATCTCCCGACCAAGTTTTACATATTTATTATCGTCTCCGAGCGTGAGCTGCATGGCTGTTTTGGTATTCGGCACGTTACATCGTCGAGTTCGCGGCATCGAAACCCCGCTAAAACCCGTCCAAAGTCGTCCAAAGTCGTACAAAGCACCTCGTATAAAGCCAGCCCCGGGGCGATTGCGTTCTCTCTCTTCCTCTCTCTTCTTCTCTATTCTTTCTCCTTCATGCGGCCCGCGGATATGATTTGCGGGATTTACGTGTCTTTTTCGCGAGAAAGAGAATTGTCTCGTGTGGTTCACGTAGGTGGAAAATAAGCCGCCGCGAATCCCGTTCGACGTTTCCGGAATCTCGCGGGTTAGAGCAGCGCAAAACGAGGCGGCGGCGGTGTAACATATGCGGATTTCGAAACCGCTCTCGCGGAACTTTTACTTGAAATTTCGCTGTACGCGGAGAGCCACCGGGGATACGCCGCCGGTTGTCTTTGTCGGTTATAAATGGGAGACACGAAACGGCGCACTTGAAAAGTCGGCGCTTGTTGGTTTCTTGCCCGGAATCGCGTTTCCTTCTTTTCTTTCTTTCTTTCTCTTTCTTTTTATAGCCCGCTACGAATGCGGTTGAGCGTTGCGCAAGTGTTTACCGTGATTTTCCGGAGCACCGTTCGTAAAGTGAAAAAGTATCAATATATCAATTTTACCGTATACAGTTAATAAACTATAAGAGCACTTTTCGAGCATTACGCATGTATAACGAAGTAAATTCTTTCCGCGTTGAAAAATATATTAAATTTAAAACAGTTACTCTCTCACAGAACGATAAAAGATATTTCCGGCTTTTTCCAACAAATTCACATTATGCATTCGATACCTTTTGGGAATAAAATCCCAAAGGCATTTAACCATCATCCGGCAAATCAACAGGCCGCTACGTTAAAAGGGCTCGGAGAGGTCGGTCGGAAAATCTAGAAGAATTTACTCGGTGGGCGCACAAATCAGCCGCGTCTACGAAGAGGGCCAGCGAAGTCCGAGAATGAGATGGGGATCGATGCGCGCGCTTTCGGCCCACGGGACCGAAAATCTCGCTGGACGCGTTTCCAACGACAACGTGTAAACCGTTTGGCCAGCAACACAATGGCAGGCCAGGAGGTCCAACGGAGCGAGGAAAATATATTGCTAATAGGGTTTGCAACACGGCCCGTTAGTCGAGAGTAATGCCTTACCACGGGGTGGCACACGTTAAGCTCGTTTAACGAACCACACCCCGCCTTCCGTCTCTTACTCTTTCTCTCTTTCTCGCTCGCTCTCTCCCTCCTTTTTCTTCTCCGTCCCTCCCTTTCGTCTTTTTTGCCCTTCTACTCTCTCGCGTTCGTGCTTCCGTGGACGTCGATTAGATTTATGGACTTCCATCGTGTGTCACGCGTTCGACCCTCTCGTCGCCATGCTCTCGTTCGTCGAGGGATTTCAGCCTGCAGCCGCGATAACCGCACGTGACCGTTTCGAGTCTCTCGATTAGGGAGGTATTCTTCTTCGCGAATCGAACGGAACGGATTGCACGTCGCTTTTACGCGCCTTCAGTGAGTTATTACCGTCCGATGCACTTCGAAACTCAAGTAACTGTGAACGGTCTATAATTTCCTTATCTTAGACATTGTTTTAAAAATAAATCATTATTATCTCATTGTCCCTCTAATTTTTATTTAATTATGTCATTACAAAAGTTATTATATATATTTAAACGAGAGCATATAAATGAATGATGCATTAGAGTGTTGTTTGCATGAATATACAGCGCGAAACATCGTGTCGAGATAAATGTATGTGTGAGAACACATAGGTCATAAAACTACGGAAGAGGATTTTGTGATGTGCCTTGAGTCTCGTCACGTTCGACAGGTGCTTTGTTTAGATGGCTCCTCAGAGTGCTAACGCTCTATTTTGCTTCCTTATTTCGTCGTCCTGACGACGGCACTATGTTTAACGCGTGTATGTTGCGCGCAAACATCGAATGCATAATATGGAACTATAATATATATAGTATCTCTCGTGAGCTACATTTTCCCTACCATATAAATTCTGCAAACGAAGAAAAAATTGCCTGGGACTTGAGCGTGCAGTAAGAAGTAATAGAATTTAAATACCATTAACTTTCTAATAAGCTTTGAGAAAACGCGTATTTACATGAAATTTTTTGTCTTGTCATGTAAACGAGTTTAGGGAGATATAGACTTATCGAGATTTTTACTTTATGTTAAACCTGTCAGGTCATTCTCTATATAACTAATATAAAAGTTTA